AGGCATGAAACAAGGATGCCACAATGCATGAAGATAGCATCAAAAGGTATAGCATGCTAGTACATCTCATGGAGCTCAAATAATGCAACATGGCATACACATAGGAGCAACAAGTTCATGGCATTCATCAAGACAAGATGCAAACATGAAATAGCAGATTCTAGACTTAGTGAAAATCTGGGAATGCAAAACAGTAACATTATGATGCTGACTTTGGAGGCACATAACAACAAGCACATCAATTTTAATATTTATGCAAAGGACATGAGCATGTAGCAGACATGGCATACTCCAACTTACTACATGGGCACAACTCCATATGATGCATATATTATTTACTATGATTTTTGCAAAATGAAACATGCTGTTAACAGGTTGACAGATTTAGCATGATGACCACCTGAAAGCAAATTTGAGTGAGGCTACAACAAGTTTACATGGCAACCAAGGGCATGACATTGAAGTACATGTCAAGCACTGCAAAACATGATTACTGAGCTACTGCTGAAAACCACTAGAACAAGTTTAAAACATCATGGCAAGATTGCAAATGATAACAGTTTTTCAGACTTAGTGGAATTTACTGGACATGGCAGAAACAAAATTAAGTAGGCATGTTTGCAAGCTTGTTTAACTCAACACACAACATATCATGGCATGCAAATATAACCAACAGTAAGATGGCATGTTTGTGCATCTGCTCATGTCAGGAATATGGTCATAGGATGCATAGAACACTAACTATGCACTCGGCAAAAATGAACTTGCTGCTAACAGGCTGACGGGTATATTTTAAAACAATTTGAGAGCATGAAAAGAACAAGCTACAGTAGGCTGTAATTGCAAACAAGGGCATGGATGGATAGAGCATAACATGGACTTCAAAACATGATTACTGAACATCTTCAGATTATGCATGGATTTGTTGGTAGCAACAAGTAAACATGGCATCACAATATAACAGATTCAGACTTAACCAGAATTAACGAAGTCTCTGAAAACAGTAAACAACGAGTAGGTCACTTGGCAAGCTTGTGCTAGTCACAACAATGCATATCATGATAAGTGGGTTACACCATGGCAATGATGACATAATTATGCTTCTAAACATTTAGGCATGTTACTCAAAAGAAAATCACCCAAAATGCTATGAAAAAGACAAAATGGCAAGTTATAACAGTTTTCTGCACTTAATATCACTTAGCACTTTTGAAGCGATGATTATGGAATCAAGATGATACCTAACATGAATGCAAATGCAACTATCATGTAGAGCACGAAGAGCACAACATTTTCATATGCAGATCATCACCAACGGACAAACATGCACAAAGTTACAACCATTCAAACATGCTAATATGATGTTCACAAACAGGGACCTACGCGAATTTGCTGGACTGAAAACTGAGCGTCGGATAACTAAACAACGCACAGGGCGGGGGATAGCTGCTGGGTGCTCACCTAGTGCCCATGGGCCGGCTCGGGGACGGGTTGGAGAAAGCCGGCGCCTGGTTCGGGGTGGTTCTGACGGGTCGGTCTGGTTCAGAGGAACCGACCGGTTCAGGCGGCCTTCTCCGGTTCAGGGGCGCGGGAGGCCGGGCCCACGCGTCGGTGGCAAGGCGTGGCCGCCGCCGATGGGACGACAGCGGCAGGGCGGATCGGGGTGATTCCGGCGGCGAGCAGACCCGGGCGGTCCCGATCTGGATCTCGCCGGAGAACGGCTCGAGGGTGAGGCCGGGACAGGTGGGGCGACGGCGCGGGACGATGGTGGCAGCTTCGAGCGGCGGCGGAGCTTCCGGCTTGGGGCGACGACGACCTCCGGTGGCTGCTGGCGGTGGGGAGGAGCTGGAACGGGGCCCTGCGGGAGAGATCCGGCAAGGGCGGTCGGCGGAGGAGGTCCGACGGCGGCCTGGTGGTCGCCGGAGGG